ATTCTAATTAATGCGGGGACCCCGAAGTGGAATTTGGTAATTGTTCTACGATGTATTTTTGGAAAGATTGTTTCAAAAGTTTCAGAATCATTTTCTCCAATTTTCAAGATAATTTGATTATGGAAGAAATTAATTGGTTTTTCTGTAAATTCTATAAGATCTGAAGAGTCTGAATCAGTGGAATGTACAGAGTCTTCATCCGTAGGGTCATCTTCGTTAATATTAATTTCATGAGTGATTCTAGAAAGAGCATCTGCCACCACATTTTGCTTCCCTGGTCGATGTTTGATTTCGAAATCAAACTCGAGAAGTTTTAACCTCCACTTCACTAATCTGGTATTTGGTGTCTTCAGGTTTAGTGCATAGGTAAGTGGTTGATGATCTGTAAATAGGGTAAATTTCCTTCCGAACAAATATGGTCGAAAGTATTGTGTCGCCCATACTATGGCCAAAAGTTCTTTCTCTATGGCGGAGTAACCTTCCTCAGTCTTTGTTAACGTTCGAGATGCAAACGCGACTGGTCTGTCCTTTCCTATACAGCCTTGCGATAAAACTGCTCCGAGAGCAAAATTGCTTGCATCAGTAGTGAGGACGAATGGTTGATTGAAGTCAGGGTATTGCAATACATCACTTTGTGTAAGCAATTCCTTGCATTTTTCGAAGGTTTTCACAAATAAAGGTGTGTGTTCAATTACTTCGCCTTTACGTAATTGAGCTGTAAGTGGCTTGGTAATTTTCGCAAAGTCGCGAATAAACCGCCGATAGTACCCGAGAATTCCAAGAAATCCTTTAAGTTGTTTTTGGTTTCTTGGTAAAGGCCAATTTTTGATACCTTCGATTTTATTGGGGTTCGGTTTGACTCCCTGATCGGTGACAATATGACCTAGGAAAGCTACTTCTTTTCTTAGGAATTCACATTTGTCTAACTGTAATTTTAAATTTACTTTTTCAAGGGCCTTTAATATTTTTTCCAAATTTTCTAAATGCTCCTGCAAAGAGGTAGAGAAAACGATAATATCATCCATATAAATGAGACAACATTTTCCAATATATTCTCTGAGTACATGATCCATAACGCGCTGGAAAGTAGCTGGTGCGTTTTTTAGACCAAATGGCATACGCAAATACTCGTATAGACCATGATCTACTTGAAATGCTGTTTTTGGTACATCTCTGGGATCCACCTCGATTTGATGGAAACCTGAGGCCAAATCGAGCGTGCTAAAATATTGGCATTTGCCCAGTTTATCCAGTATCTCTGTGATATTGGGTAAAGGGTATTTGTCGTCTATAGTTTTTGCATTGAGCTTCCTATAGTCAACTACTAAACGCCATTTCTGTTCGCCAGATGCATCTGCCTTTTTTGGTACGATCCATATGGGTGATACTCAAGGGGATGTGCTAGGTCTTATGATACCTTGGTCGAGCATTTTTGAAATCTGTTTTTGTACTTCATCTTTATGGACAAACGGATACCTGTAATTTTTAGTATAGGCAGGTAATTCGTCGCATGTGTTTATAGAATGTTTAACTACGTTGGTAAATGACAAGTTATCACCGTCCGTGTAGAAAACATTGGGATATTTTCGAAGCAATCTAAGTAATTTTAAGCGTTCTTCTGAGTTAAGGTGATCAGTTCGCACCTCTTTTCCGATATCTTGTGCTATTTTAGTAATTGTAGGGGGAACTTTTGATGGGAAATCCATCACATCAAAGTTATTTATTTCAGTGGTAATTTTTTCATAGTCTATAGTTTCTACAGAGGGTTCTTGATGTATATTGACAAAGAGTAGATTGGCTTTGTTTTGGTGAACGCTGTATAATCCAGACGGGACATAAACTTTGGATGTAATTTCTAAGTCATTTTCAAGAAAGAAGTCTCCTGAGTTGATAGAGATTGGAATTTCTTGAATCATATGCATTGATTCATGAAAATTTAATTCAATTGTACCAGGAAATTTTTTTTTTAGTTGTATAGTTGTATTGTCTAGAACAAGCGTATTTGCTGATGCATCTATAATGCACCCTAATCTATGAAGAGTTTGAAATCCTATCAATCCATCGAAGAAATCATGGAACTTGAATAGGTGAAATTTCTGGCAAGGAATATTTTTAAAATATTTCGAAAACGGGTTGAAGAAGGTATATTGCTCTATCTTGTGTGATCCATTTATGTTCTTTACTTTGTGTTGTGAGCCTAAACGTATAGATTGCAAGGGGACGATTTCAGGAGAAATATAATTTTTATTAGCTCCTGTATCGATAAGTAGTTTAAGGGGAGGTTTTGATTTGGAAAGGATTTCTAAATAAGGAAGGAAACTCAATCCATTTCTTGATGCCCCACATCTGAAGGAAAATTTAATTCTTCCTCCTGATATTGGTTTTCGTTTTCGGTGAATTCTTCAGTGCCGACATCAACAGAATCAAGATATTCGTCATGCATATTAATTTGATTGCCTCTAATTTGTTTAAAATTTGAAGATGATGGTTTTTCCTGTTTTATGGAGGGGAACCGTGTTCTAGGTTGTACGGTATTCTGCATGTATGCTGGGATTTCTCTGTTTGGATTAAACGGTGGTTTTGATGTAGGGAAAGAATTTGTCGAGAATTGGGGTCGATGCGTATAGAACGCATTTTTCATTGGCTGAGGTCTAGATAATACAGGTGGATTTTGTGGTCCAGCTGGTTGTAGGTTATTGTGATACCATGCTCCATTTTGATTAGGCGGTGGTTGGAATCGAGAGAATCTAGAAGGTTCTGAATTTGATTTTTGACTAACTTTTGTTCTTTTAGCAGCATTATCTTGATCTAGGGCATGCTGGTATGCTGAAAATAAACTATCAGGTCTACTGGTTCTGGTAAGTGCAGATATCGGATCATGTAAACCGTCAATGAAAGCATTGGTCATCATACTTTCGTATGTTGCCATGACAGTTGTAGAACAGGGCTTGAGGTTATCGTCCAACATAACCTTAGCTCGAATATCTGCTAATAATCCGTCGCAGTTGTAGTAAAAATCTTCTACGCTAAGATAACCTTGCTTCAAGTAAGGTATCCTGCTCAAAATTGTGGATAGATCTCGTTTGTCACCAAATCTTTCCTTTAATGTGTGCTTTATGGCATCCCATTTGCACTCAGTATTGTTGCTGATTAAGGCTTCATTGGCCTTACCAGTGATTTTATCTCGGATAATTGACGTCCAGATAGGTAGCACAGTGCGCGTATCACCATCTGGTACAAATTTTATTGCACATTCTAATTTTTGGTCGACCGAGGCAAGCCAAGATGGCAAAGCCTTGATTTCACCATCGTATCCTGGGATCATTTTAATCACGTCAGGAATACGCGTTACATCAAAATTTTGTTGTGGGCGCTGCTCAACGCTTCGCGGGGTGTTTTGCAACGATTCGATTTGCCTTCTTTGCTGAAGCAGCATTTGCTCCAATTCTTCGATTTTGTCCATTAGTGTCTCGGACATTTTTCTTGTTAACATGCACTAAAAAAAAAATATTCACTTCACTGACTGCTTATAAATAATTCACTTTGTTGCTAATTTATTTAGTTCACTAATTTATTTGTTGTTGGATTTATTATTTATTTTTTGTGTTGTTAAGGTTAGTTCGCGGCCTAACTGTGATATTTTAGTCTATTGGTTACCACGGGTGGGGCCGCCAGACTGTGCTATTAGTAGTGTTTAGAGGATGGTCAGAAGTAGTGAACCTATGCCGGGTTTCTATTTCTGAATTGGTTTTGAAGGATAGGAAATGGGTACTTACGATTTACTTTGACCGATGTTCCTTCGATCCGGTTGATTGATTTGACGATGTTCCTTCGTCTGGTTCTTCGGATTGCGCGTCTTCCGGTGCTGGTACAGATGTCCTCAACTTGGCGATGTCCTCTCGTCAAGGCGTTGATTTCGATAAACCGTCGATTAATCTTCACGGAACACTTGCAAAAACACTCGCGGATACTTAGCACAATCCTACCGACTGCGCCAGTTATTAGTTCGGGCCTTCGGGGGGCGTTTTTAAAAATAAAATTAGAACTACGAACTTACTCGACTGAAGGTCTGAACTAGAATGAATTTATTCTTCTTAAGCAAAAAGTTACAATGTGCTATATACTAAAAGGGTTTAATGGAAAACGCCTAGTGCGCGAATTATTACTTATATGCTATCTATGTTTCGTCTGCTGCTAACCGGCTCGGTGTCGCTGATGGATGGTCGCCTCGTGGAAAGGAATGGGAATGCTGATATACAGAAATATGATTATGCATTAGGATGCAGTTCTGCTGTTGTTGTTGTTGTTGTTGTTGTTGTTGTTGTTGTTGTTGTTGTTGTTGTTGTTGTTGCCGTTGTGTCTTATTATTGCTGATATCGACTGAAGTTCCTGTCGATAGTGTCGTTGCTGTGTCTCGGAATTTGTTGAATTGCTTGTAATTGGGTTCTGGTATGATTTCAGGAAAGTGCTGTACTTAACTCTAATATTCAAATTGTTCGTTAATTTTTGATTAGATTCACAATAAAATCAGATAGGAAATTGCTTTGACTGTCTTACCTGCACACCAAAAAATTCTGAATTTTACTGGCGATGTAAACATCCATGCATGCAAACATTCATACATGTAAACTTCCTTTTCACGTAAATTAGCAACTTGCAAGAAATGTTGAAAACAAAAGTGGACAGTTGCATACAATATATGGAATATTGCATGACATGTCTCGTAAATTTACACGATCTATAATCTAAATTTGTATGCTATATGACATTTATGTGCATCATAGTAACGGAAATTTACACTACTTTTTTTTAGCTCTGTGGGCATTTTTGTTCGTAGGAAATGTCCTACCCCCCACCCATTTCTAGCTTCTGTTCAAGTATATCGCTTCCAATAAACCACCACATCTCAAAATAATTAGTCTCTGCCACAATCACTTCTCATTAACTATAAGATAATCTTTGACATAATGCTTAATACATCGACAACGTTGATCTTGCAGAGGACTCCGACGTGGATGAAACGGCACACGCATCCGGCAGCGCCCCTAGCAGTTCCAAGGCCAAGCGATACTTCTGGCAGTACAATGTGCAGGCCAAGGGACCCAAGGGTCAACGCTTGGTCATCAAAACGCACACGGAAGATCCGCACGTACTGAACGAGGTCACCGATCCGGTCTTTAGTCCACACTGCTCTGTGCGCGGCATCAAGGTTTGTAGCTAGACCAGCACACAACGTGTTCGCTACCGATGGCCGTCCCAAACTAGACGCTGGCCACCGTCGCGCTGTCTGGGGATCAGATGCCAATTAAAAACATTTTTTCTTGATAATTTTCTTAAGAACCTTCGTTTACAGCACAGTGGCAAGGCACGCAAGGGAGACGGCAATGACCTAACGCCCAATCCGAAAAAGCTACACAGCATCGGCAAGGAACTGGATAAGCTGGGTCGAGTGATTAACGATATGACTCCGGTCAGTGAGCTTCCGTTCAATGCACGACCGAAAACACGAAAAGAGAAAAACAAGCTGGCCTCGAGGGCTTGTCGCTTGAAGAAGAAAGCCCAACATGAAGCCAATAAGATCAAGTTATATGGCTTGGAAACTGAACATAGTAAGTTAGATGACAGTTTTGCTTTGTATAGTAAAATATATGTCTACCTAAAAATTTACAGAGCGTTTAATGAATGGCATCAAGCAGCTGAAGCATATTCTGGTGAATAAATGCAGTCAGGTACCCACGGAACCAACGGAGGATCAAAATCAAAAAATGGAAACCCTGGTTAAAGCAGCATCAAGTAAGTTCAATCAGCTAGCATCGGTACACAGTTTTTGAAACTCTTGTTATACTTTTTGTTTTAGAGTTGAAGATTGCCGGTAATTCAACGGAGTTTGTCAACCGAATTCTGGAAGTCATAAGGTCTGGTAATAGCGTCAATATCGACAAAGTGCTGGAAGAATTCTAAGTTCGCCTTAAAGGGTAATGACGAGTAACGGGAGTAACGATTTGAATGATGAGACTGTAAGATAATACTAGATGTTAAGGCAAGAGATCATTTATAAATTTATAATCACTAGAGTACACACACAGCAACGCAGAACATGTGCACATTATTTATCTCCCTCTTTTTGTAAAACGCAATGGAGCACAATACGGGCATCAGCTGGAGCCATGCAGTGTTCCATCCAAAACAAGTGATGTGTCTAATATCAGGGAACGAGGATGCATTATTTTGAAACGATCTAGCGTGACCCAGAGTCAGTTAAACTGGCTGAATTGAAGTTGAAGTGATATCTGATAGCGGTTCAACCGGGTGATAAGTACATGAAATGTGGTAGAATCGAGCTCAGGATTATTCTGCGCGTTCGATGATAAAGCGAAAAGACAGACGAACAGTGCTCCTTACGTTTTGTTGAGATTAAATGCTCGAAAATATTGAAAGTTTATAACGTTATGAAACAACATAATCTACTGTATCGGATGCACGATTGAGTTGTGGATTTGGATCCGGTGACCTAATGGATCTGCATCCAGCAACTCTCCTTATATGGAATAATGATTGATAAACTGCTGATGGTAACATATGTACCTTATATATATATATTCATATTATGAAGTATGATTAAGTATCAAGTTTGTATAATTATGACGATAAGAGGATATATTTTATTCTAACCCGAGTGATAAGTTTAAGCACAGTTGGTCCGAGTGTTATAGAGTTGGCGTATAATTGCAACTATTGATATTCACATTTTTTACTTCTTCTGTTAAAAAAAATCTGACGCATATTTTTGAAAATTTACCATAGGTTAGTAGTTTTTAAAATTTCATTTGCTTCAAAAAAGTGAAAATGATGCGTTTTGTTCTGTAAATTACAGAGAGCTAATATAAGCAGTGAATCAATTATTTCTTAACTGGAGTGTTGGAAGGGCGAAGGACAGTTTTCACTTTTTTGGAAATAGCGTTTTTGGCTAGTAGTAAGCTGTTTCGTGTGCAGTGATATCTAACGGTTTCGGGGTTTGGAAATTATGAAAGAAGAAGCATACGTTTTTCACTAATTTGGCACAAATACACCTCTTCCAAAGTAGCGATTAACAGTTCCACCTTGCATTTACGATGTCATGCTGCTGAAACACATTGCTCACTTCCAAAATCCGTAAACAAGTTTATGCAGTAGTTTTGTTCATGTTTCCATTTTTTTAATTTGTTCTTTTAAAACAACATCTGTGATTATCTTTGTTAGTGGGTGTCTTTTTGTTTTTTCCTGTTTATAGCAGTAGCAGTTAGTTTCGTAAAATGATTGCATATTTTTAAGACTAGAGTTACAAAATTCAAAAACGTTACTTGGCTCTATTTAGAATGAACGGCAAAGCATAGTAGATGGTTCCTAAATGTTATCCGATTCGCTTCTATTTCGACTATCAAACAGTTATTCATAGCAGTTTATGCTACGATTTTTATGTTTCATTCACTGAGCTGGCCTCGTATAAACATAGACCCGCATTTTACACTGTATTTCGATCAATTGTAGCATACCGAATAACCCCCTCCCCACTCTCCACTTATTCCTTTAAGTAAAGCCAAACGAGATCACAGCGGTGAAGAAAACATTTCGCATGGACTGAATGAAACAAGAGAACATTAAATACTTTTTTACGAGAATCAAATATTGTAGGTACCTGTATGCAGACAACAAGTAACAAAACAGATTGTTAGCAATCTGTCACTAGATTTAGAGTACGCTGGAATAGGAATCTGGTCGATAATACTACCTCATAAAATTGACAAAGTAACGATAGCACGGTAGAGAAGGTACCAAAAGTAAGACGTAAAACTCACTTGAAAAGTCAAACCAATAGTTTTGATCAGGCTGGACAGCGCAACGATTCGTTCCGGTGAACAGAATACGAGTATGTAGATGCCATAATAATGAATGTGACGTTATGAACGCACCGAAACAAGACTTGAAGTGTGACACAAACCTTGAACCGTTTCCTGTTTGGAAAACATGCAGTTCAACGTGAACTACAACTACATTATATGCAGTGGTTTGACCTCTGAACGTATCGATGGACCTTAAACATACAATTAATATCTCGTCTAAAACAACCAATACATAGTTGTATTCTTAACCTTTGCAGCCAATTGAAATCTTTCTGGTGAATAAATATTAACATGGTTCAGTCATCTTTTCCGAAACGAAAGCTTGTATATTTCATACAAGAAACGAAATCTGTAATAGCTGTGCTTATGTTAATTAAGATCAGTCACATATTTGAAATAAACAGTCGAGAAAACCTGAATCGTAGTCTTTTCATTAATGGTGAAAGAAAAATATTCTGAAAATTCTTTTCGATTTACTTGATGCTGATGTGCTAAAATTTGAAATAAATACATCCAACCGAGTTCGTACCATCAATGGGATGAAATCATTACTGCAGTCTAGTACCAACAACTGCATTTGTGCCTCGATTCCATTAAATTTAACCAATACGCTCGCCTCCCCATCGATTTGTAACTTTCCGCCATTTACTACAATCAATTGTTTGCTATATTCCTTCAATGGGGTACTAAAATTTAAATAAAACCCTGCTTTACTGATAGCTGAAACCGATGACCCACAATCGATTTCCATTTTTAATTGTTTCCCTCCTCTCATTATTTCCACCAAACAAGGATCACTAATTTTGTTAATAGAGGAGACTAACATGCACTCAACACTACCTGTGTATCACTTCCATCATCGCTGTCCGAATAGCCGCTGGGATTTTCTGAGGCATACAATCTCTGATAACGCCCTCCTTCGGAAGGGAAGTAAAGCCGTTGATACCCGGTCTATAAGAAGTTGTATAGATATACAGCAATTCCATACAAAAAAAGTTATAGCGAGTCTCAGAATTTCATGGGAAGTGGTATAGTTCTGCCTTATCAAAAAATATTAGACTCGTATTTTTATATTCCGCCATTAGGGTGACCATTTCCGTGTTAGGGTGGTCTGAAAAATCTATTTTTTCAAAAATGCCTTTTTTCAAAAATTCATAACTTCTGAACCTCTTGACCGATTTTTACGGGTCAATCGTAAAAATCGGTCAAGAGGTTCAGAAGTTATACAGTTCAAATGAAAGATGTTTTAATGTTATTTTAAGAAAAATTATGAAACACTCAGAGATATTTGATTTTGTAGGAAAAAAAGTACGTTACAAATGTTTTTTTCTTGATTTTCACTGTGAGGGTCTTCAACAACTTCTTATTTTAGTATTTTTAATTGAAAGATCATTTAATTTCACATAACATTTAAAAATATTAATATTGACGTAGAAGTAGTTTTGGAGATACAATTTTTTTTAAATAAAAATCATTTTTTTTTTCGTTGATTTGTTTTTTGTCGATCCTGTTTTCCGTGCTGAGCACCAATGCTACCGACGCCAGGGAGGCAGCTCCCACACCTGGACCCTACCTATCGACCCATCAACTCATGAACCGGGGACCAATGACTTTACTTCCCTTCCGAAGGAAGGCGTTATCAGAGATGTTATGCCTCAGAACATCCTGGCGGCGCCGACTGGGATTGAACCCAGGCCTGATGGGGTGAGAGGTAATCACGCTTACCACTACACCACCGGCGCCGCTAGATAAAAAATCATTGTTCCGCAATATATACGCCACACGTGCATGGAAACGATGAAGACGCAAGGTATAGTTCTCAATGCGTCTCCATCGAGTCACAGCAGTTGTGACTAACGAAATCTATTATTAACTTACAAGCTGGGTGCAACATTCAGTTCAGCTTGGGGGCTGTCCATAAACCACGTAGATCAATTTTTAAACATTGCAGATCCTACCTTCCCCCTTGTATACTTTACTAAAATTTTAAATATTTTTCCGGGCGTATACTTTGGCTGGACTCCCCTCCCCCATTGAAGTCCTCGTGGCTTTAAAATAGGCCCCAGTTTGACATTATTAATTTTGGTTTCAAAATTCTGGGACAAGTACTTAAATGCAACAAATAATGACGAGGTCGAAGAAAAATAAGTAAAACTTGAAGCATTTATTTTCTTTAATTTACAATTTCACACATTTTTCTTCCGTTGAAAATGAATACCGTTTGATAATAATATACTTTTCGAGGCTTAAAACTATGGAATGACTGTGTCCCCGAAATTTGGTTCACACGTAAGTTATTAGTTCGGGCCTTCGGGGGGCGTTTAAAAAAAATAACTTTAGAACTACGAACTTACTCGACTGGACGTCTGAACTAGAATGGTTTATTATTCCAAAGCAAAGAGTTATAATGTGGTATATACTGAAGGGTTTAATGAAAAACGCTAGGTGCGCGAATTATTACTTATATGCTATCTATGTTTTGTCTGCTGCTAACCGTCTCGTTGTCGCTGATGGATGGTCGCCTCGTGGAAAGGAATGGGAATGCTGATATACAGAAATATGATTATGCATTGGGATGCAGTTCTGCTGTTGTTGTTGTTGTTGTTGTTGTTGTTGTTGTTGTTGTTGCTGTTGTGTCTTATTCTTGCTGATATCGACTGAAGCTCCTGTCGATAGTGTCGTTGCTGTGTCTCGGATTTGTTGAATTGCTTGTAATTGGGTTCTGGTATGATTTCAGGAAAGTGCTGTACTTTAATATAACGGGTTTTCAATTTACTTTCCATTTTATTGTAATCGGATTTCGAAAAAAAGTGATAGCGTATTTTTTAATCTGGCTTAGAAATAGCTCATGAATAAAATTCTTGGGCCGTTGTTATATGGTAGCCTTGCAAACTCGCTTTCGCAGCGTTTTGTTTCAATAATCCTCCCAAACATCACAAGGGCCTTTTCCATGACAAGTTGCGAAAAAATTCCACTCGGCAGCAATGCCAAAATCTGCGGTCATCTTATTTTTATATTGGCTTCCTGATCCATCTGATAAAAAGTAAATATGTTGTTAGCCTGGAAATTTACATTTTATGAACGCTAGACAATGCGTAAGAAATAAACGAACTGCGACATGATTATGTTTAGTGAAATCAGCAATTGCAATAAAACTAGTAAATTTCAAATCGTTCGATTTTTCGTCTTTAAAATAAATAGCATAAGGGTGAATAGTACATTGGGCGTTCACCCAATGAAAGCCTTGAACTTCATCCTGCTCAACGAAAGAATAATTCTCCGAACAATCACAGATTATGATGCATTCTGTAGCTTTCAAAGTGCTTTTGACGTGTTTCAAGTAATTTGCGTGTTGCTCAGCTATAAACTTATACGGAAATAAATTGAATAATTTTTCTAACAGAGTATCAATAAATTCCTGTGTGTCCATTTCAACTAAGTCCATAATGCATCTCTCTACTTGACGCCATTGTTTGAATTGTATTGATTCAACATGTCCGTTACTACGAATAGTCATTAGTTCTGTGGCCAAAATTTGCTTTCCTGAACAATTTTCGCAACACTGCAGCCAGCATTGTTCACTTGGATTTTGACAAATTATTTTTGTAAACAAATCGTGATAGGAATCAACACCATCTGGGAGTGATTGTCTACTTTGTAGTGTTTAAAAAATAAGTTTAACGTTCTGAAGATATATACAAACGCATACGGTATGCGTGCCACTTGTCCCTGTCAAAATGCAGTGTTTCGGACGGTTACTGGCGAACATGGAAAATCATATTTTAATATCAGGAAATGTATTTTTAAAGATGGATTACGCCTCCTGCAAATTACACAAAACTAATCTTCTTTGTACGTAGATTCCGCCTTCATCATTTTTAGATATCAAATAATCTCTTTTCCCCGGACAAACACGACTTATATCGTCACTATTGTAAAAATCACGAACAAGCATTATCGTTTTCTCTCCTAATGAAGCTCTGCCTAACCTCTTTACAGGCACCGACATTATTCCTTTCTCTTGCTGCAGTGCTTTTGCTTGGTTGGCCATATGTTGGGAAACATTGAACACCTTCATAATTCTATATGTAGACCAACTTTTGGGAAGTGTGGTTAAAATCCTGTATCGCTCATTGCTGTCTCTTGTTTCTATATATTTATCCTTAAGTTGTATAAGGAATTCATTTTCGTCCGACAAAGGTGCGTTGTGGGTGGTAACGATCGATTCAGAACTGGTTGTTTCCACTGACTCTGAAAATAAATGTAAAAAATGATTGATTATTAGAAAAAAAAATATAATTGTTTTTTTATTATTTATCTTGGCAGGGAAAAGGAACCATTCTGGACGGTCCCGCAACGGCAATCGATTCAATACTGGTTGCTTTGATGGACTCTAAAAAATGATTGCAAAAAAGAAGAGTTTATGTTAGTAGTTTGAAGAAAAGAATTGAAATTTAAAGAAGAATCACATGAATTTTCAAATAACGTACCTGAAGCAGCGATACGCCTTTTTAATGCACCACCAACGTAGAGTGCGCCACGCGATTTCGAAAAGAAACGTCAACCAAACCGTTTGTTTACATCAGAATAACAATTTTTCGCAACGCAAATTAAAGCATTTTTCATTCAACATCTTGCCAATTTCTATCGGTAATTGTCTTATTGTACGATTTTCCACAGATCTGAACTGATTTGTACCTTAACTATCCACACACAAGAAATTCGGAAGATCATTACTACTAAAGTACTTTTCTAATTTTCCATTTTTCGCAACAAAAATATTCCTGTACACCAGCAGGATGTTTGCAAAAACGTTACAGAATTAAATTTTTCAACTGTAGATTAAGTTTTGGGGCATCTCAGATGGATCAATTTATCAGGAAAAGTAAAAAAGTGTTCCGCTTCCTATGTCTTAAGGCAAAAATTTCTTCTCACAACACTCTTTTTGACGTTCTCTTATTCACCACCAGAGGTTGAATCGATCGTTAAGTTCCCATTAAAAAGGCCTATTCTGGATGGTCCTGCAACGGCTTCGTCGGTCACGGCATCATTGGGTTCATATAGTTTGTGGTAGCAACGTTGACAAATGAAGGAGCTACTCTCATCTATTTTAATCTTTTTTCCACTGCATAATCGTACAATTTACCAATAAATGATTTTTCTGGCACATTAACTCAACATCCAAACACCACACATTGAACACTTACGTTTCATTTTTAGATATTCTTCGATTCAACGGTTCTAGTAGGAAACTTTGTTTTCTTTTTTTTTTTTCCTTTTGGTTTGTTTTTTTCCGTCGATCTTGTTTTCCGTGCTGAGCACCAATGCTACCGACGTGCCAGGAAGGCAGCTCCCACACCTGGACCCTACCTATCGACCCATCAACTCATGAACCGGGGACCAACGGCTTTACTTCCCA